GAGGTAGGGTGGGGATGGAGGGGATAAGGGGTGGGAGGGATACTGGGATCAGTGGTGGTGGAGAATGGGCACTGGTGGAGGGATGGGTACTCGATCATTGTATAACTGAAACCCAAGCACAAAAATTTGTAAGTCTACAACTGTACCTCATGGTGTTTCACTAATAAAAATTTAAAGAAAAAAAAAAAGAACGTGTTTCCGTTTTCCAAAAGGGCTGAACCAGTTGGCATTTGCATTGTATTTGGGAAGTATTGCCATTTTGAAAATGTTAATTCTCCCGATCCATGAGCAGGAGAATGTATTTACAAGGTTTTTACAGTAAGTTTAGTTTCTAAATACATGAGTTCAAAATAATTAATCTTTTGTAATAAGCTGGGGCTTTATTTAATGCTTCTCTATATTATATAAATTTTGCTTGGTTTTTTTTTTTTGCCACAATTTCTGACTCAGTGCTCAGGGATTACTCCAGGCAGGGTTTAGGGAACCATATGGGGTGATGTGGATTGAACCTGGGTCAGCCACTTGCAAGACACATTTTCTTGTGTCCTCTTTTATTTCCTGAAGTAGCGTTTTGTAGTTTTCTTTGTACAGGTCTTTTACTTCCTTAGTTAAGCTGATTCCTAGGTACTTGACTTTCTGGGATGCAATTGTGAATGGGATTGTTTTTTTAATGTCACTTTCTTCTTTCTCACTATTGGCGTGTAGGAAAGCCATGGACTTTTGGGTATTGATTTTATAGCCTGCTACTTTACTATACAATTCTATTGTTTCTAGGAGTTTCTTGGGAGATGCATGCTGAAAGTAGACTGTAGACCAAACATGATTGCCACTCAGTGCCTCTTTTGCAAACGACAGCACCCAAAAGGAGAGAGAGAAAACAAAAGGGAATGCCCTACCACAGAGGTGGGGTGGGATGGAGGTTGAGAGGATGGGAGCGATACTGGGATCATTGGTGGTGGAGAATGGGCATGGGTGGAGGGATGGGTACTCAATCATTATATAACTGAAACCCAAGCACAAAAATTTGTAAGTCTAAAACTGTACTTCGTAGTGTTTCACTAATAAAAATTAAAAAAAAAAAACGCGTTTTTGAGCTGGAGTGATAGCACAGTGGGTAGGGTGTTTGCCTTGCATGCGGCCAACCCAGGTTCAAATCCCAGCATCCCATATGGTCCATACCAGGAGTAATTCCTGAGTACAGAGCCAGGAGTAACCCCTGTGCATCGCTGGGTGTGACCCAAAAAGCAAAAAAAAATAAAGATGTTTCGGTGGGATCTGTTTCTTCTCTGTCTTTTGCCTAATCTTTTTGAAGCCACCATTTAGATGTGGAAATGTGTGTGACGGTAGAGAGGGTGAAGAGCAGAAAGTTTAGGTGAAAGGGTAAGATATAATCATCTGGCAATTATCCAGTGCTAGCTAGGTGCTGGGACTTGGTGATGCAGGAGTGAACAAAACAAAAACTCTCCCTGTTATGAAGAGTATGTTTGAGACGTCAGAGATAGACTATTAATAAATAAAGAGGTTGGGTGTTGAAGGACGGAGATGAGAAGCCTGGTAGTGGTAAGAGCTGGAGCAAGAGAGTGGCCCCCAGTTTGAAATTGGGATGGTCAATGAAAAGGTGATATTTAAGTGTCTGCTGGAAGGAGATCAGGGTCCACTGTAGAAATTGGAGAATAGGAGAATTGGAGAATGGATGTTCTAAGTCTCTGAAAGGATTTCGACTTTTTTTTTGAATGAGATAAAAAACTAGGAGCAAGTTTTGAGCAGAAACGTGACACACTTCAGTGTCATTCGAGAATAGTCCAGGAGCAGTGATGGAGTCAGGGAGAGATAATTCGGCTTGCCAGTGGGATAATTCGGGTTGAAGAGGATGTGATTTGGGTCACAAGGTAATTCGTGATCAAAGTAACAAGTGACCAAATTCTGGGTTAGGATTGACTGGTCATTTGAATTGTGGTCAGTGCAAGATGGAGAAGAGATAAGGTTCCCTTCTGTTCTGCTGTTCTCCTTCCTTCCTTCCTTCCTTCCTTCCTCCCTCCCTCCCTCCCTCCTTCCTCCCTCCCTCCCTCCTTCCTTCCCTCCCTCCCTCCTTTCTCCCTTCTTCCCTCCCTTCTTCCCTCCCTCCCTCCCTCTCTCTCTCTTTCTTTCTTTCTTTCTTTCTTTCTTTCTTTCTTTCTTTCTTTCTTTCTTTCTTTCTTTCTTTCTCTTTGCTTTTTGGGTCACACCCGGTGATGCACAGGGGTTACTCCTGGCTCTGCACTCAGGAATTACCCCTGGAGGTGCTCAGGGGACCATATGGGATATTGGGAATCGAATCCGGGTTGGCCTCCTGCTAGGCAAATGCCCTACCTGCTGTGCTATTGTTCCAGCCCCCCCCCCTCTCTTTCTCCTTCCTCCCTTCCTCCCTTCCTCCCTTCCTCCCTTCCTCCCTCCTTCCCTCCCTCCCTCCCTCCCTCCCTCCCTCCCTCCCTTCCTTCCTTCCTTCCTTCCTTTCTTTGTCACACCCAGAGATGCTCAGAGGTTACTCCTGACTTTGCACTCAGGAATGACTCCTGGCAGTACTCAGAGGACCATATGAGATGCCGCGGATCGAACCCAGGTTGACTGCGTGCAAGGCAAACATCCTCTCCACTGTGCTATCGCTCCGGTCCTTTTTTCATTTTGAAAAATGGCGCTCAGGGCTGCTTCTGGCTCTGTGCTCAGGAAATACTCAATGACACCCACTCCTCCACCTTCGATGCTGGGACTGGCATTGCCCTCAATAACACTCTGTCAAGCTCATTTCCTGGTATGACAGTGAGTTTGGCTATAGCAATAGGGTGGTGGGCCTCATGGTTCACATGGCCTCCAAGGAGTAAACGCCCCAGCAGAGAGCACTAGGAGGAAGAGCACTAAGGAGAGCACTAAGAGAGGCTCTCAGCTGCCAAGGAGTTTTTCCGCCGCTCTCCCAACACCCAGAGAATCTCCTGACTGCAAGTTTCCATCCCAGACCCCATGAAGAGGGGGAGGTGCTTAGGGAGCCTCTCTTTGTCATGTACCATCAATAATGTACCCTGCACCCTACTCCCCCTCAAAAACAAAAACAAAAACAAAAACAAAAACAAAAACAAAACAAAAAACCAACTGGGACTGTTCACTATTAAGAAACCAGCACAGACTAAGAGATTTTATTACTACTAGGAATCAGTTGATTTCTAAACCTATTTTTTGTAACCATATTAGCTTGATGTTTACTTCTAAGCATCTTCCACACCCTCTGGAGGACAAACAGGGTGAGATCTGGATTTCCTGGGTAAATAAGGTTGCATCCTCACGGATGTTGAGAGATACTGAAAAGTAAACTCTGTTGGTTCAGCACATGCCTTAATGCCAGTCACATTTCCTCTTCCACGCTATTGTATCAGGCTGGATTCCAATTAGAGGGTCCACAGGAGTAAAATGAGATGTTCAGGGGACCTCTAGAGTACAAGAGATCAGACTGGGGTCAGCTCGTGCACGGCAGTGCCTCACCCACTGAGCTTTCTTCCCGACCTGCTAGGTATCCTATTAGTATCCAGGGGTAGTGGGGGGGGGGAGGGGACAGTTAGCTATATGAAACGGTCATTATCTAAATGTTCAGCTTGTACAAGTTGCAAAGTCACGAAAGTTACATTTATTTATTTATTTTATTTTATTTTTTAAAATTTTTAATAGTGAGGCATCATGAGGTACAGTTGCAGACTTACACATTTTTGTGCTTGGGTTTCAATTATACAATGATCAAATACCCATCCCTCCACCAGTGCCCATTTCCCACCACCACAGGTCCCAGTATCCCTCCCACCCCCCATCCCCCCCATCCCACCCCGCCTCTGTGGCAGGGCATTCCCCTTTGTTCTCTCTCTCTTATTGGGTGTTGTGGTTTGCAAAAGAGGCAATGGGTGACAATCATGTTTAGTCTATAGTCTACTTTCCGCATGCTTCTCCCATCCTGAGGGGACCCTCCTAATACCTTTATTTGGTGCTCCCTTCTCTATCTGAGCTCCCTTTCCCCCTAGCATGTGTGGTTGGCCTCCAAGCCATGGAGTAAAATTCCTGGTACTAATCTCGGCCATTCTTGGGTGTTAATCTCCTATTTTGTTACTTTATGTTCCCCAGATGAATGCAATCTTTCTATTACATATAAATGATTCAAATCTCTGACTCAGCTATCATTTATATTTATATGTTATGAAATAACTACAAAGGACTAATTTCTTAAAGATAATGGATATAAAACTTAACTTTATATGTTGGTAAAATTTTCCATGTTGGTACTGTATTAGTTTATAGGCATTTGAGGGAAAAGTTTCATGATGACTTAGTACTTTTATCTAGCTTTACATGGTACACATATGTCTAGTGATGTATAGGTAATCACTCTGATAAGGTATATGAGGGCTGAAAATAGATACTCTAATGTCTTTAAGCGGTGAATGGAGAATATGATTATAAAATTAAATTATTCTTATATTTAAAAAGTTATTTTAACATAGAGTTCTTTGTGGAATTTATATTCTTATCTCACTTAATGGAAAAACAGACTTGTACAATTTTAAATGTTTTTTTTATAGTAGGATGCAAAATGTTTATATTTTGAAACTGAAATGCAAGTAATGAATACAGGTGATTGCATGTGGCATTATTTTTCTAGTTAGTATAACACCATTAAAAACAACTAAATAAAATTAGAAATAGCCATTTTATTAAAGGTTTATATCATTTTATTCAGTAAAACAATAGAAATGCATTTTATAGATGTGTCAAGATATTTAAACTTAATCTGTTCTAATGAGCTAAATTAGCAGGAGCAAATTAATATCATTTCTATAAATAAAGAAGAGGAAGCATTTCTCCTGAAAGGTCATGTATAATTCTTTTGCGGGGCTGGGACTGTGTTTGGTTTCTGTGACCTGGGATTTGAAAAATGACAGTTTCTACTCTCCCATATATATAATAGCAAGCTCTTTCTGATTGTACAGGAAGTCCTGCATGTTGCAGGTGTGGAGATGCAGTTAATGGCTGCGGTATCATTTTTGACTATTCTACAGGAAGAATCAGTGTCAATTCACACATATGCCCACGCCTTCCTCCAAGTCATCCTCCTCCATCTGGAGCACAGGGATACAGGTCAGGGGCCTGGCATGCTTACTTGTGTGTTCACTTACCGTTGTTGTGTGTCCGTGGTTGTGATGTGTTTTAAGTTTGAAGCCTGGAGGCCTGATGAGGATCACACGAATGGCCTGACTCCACATAGCTTTGGCTGTTCCCTTACAGACTGCAGTATCAGAATCCTTGAAAATTAAACACCCATCATTCCCCTTATGATTCATATCTTCTTAGATTTTTTTTTTTGCCTTTTATACCACTTAATGTTTATAGTACTACCATTGTATAGCAAGAGAGCTCACTTTGGGTTAAAGATGTTCCCCTAATATATTTTTTCACTAAAGTGTTTTCCTAGATATTGGCTGAAATTAAAAAAAAAAACAGAGAAACGGGCTGGAGTGGATAGCACAGCAGGTTGGGTGTTTGCATTGCATGTGGCCAGTCCGGGTTTGATTCCTAGCATCTCATGGTCCCCTGAGCACAGCCAGGAGTAATTCCTGAGTGCGTGAGCCAGGAGTAACCCCTGAGCATTGCCGGGTATGACCCAAAAAGAGAAAAAAGGTAGAGAGAAACATCCAATAGTATAAGTTACTCCCACTTATCATTAACTACTGTGACAACACTAGCTACTCTGTGTCTGAACAGAAGTTCAACTTATAAGCACAACAACATTTCCTTTGATCTGTTTTTTGTGTCATGCAGGTGTCAGCAATGCCTGGCTGGAAACGCTTCTGTCCGTGATAGAAGTATTACCCAAGGAAACCTTAAGGCACGAGGTAACAGCTTGCTTTCTGTAAGACTAAGAATGAAATCGTTCTGAGATGTTTGTTTTCAATTAAAGTGGAATTTTTAAGAAAGAATAAACTTAATTTTTCACTCTCAAATTAGTGTATCTTCATTATGGAAATTGTAAGGTAAGGTAAAGGTAAAGGCCCTCCCGTTGATCGTCGATTTGCTCGAGCGGGCCCAGTAACGTCTCCATTGGAGACTTTGTTGTTACTGTGTCTGGCATATCGAATACTCTCGGTAGCTTGCCGGGCTCTCCGAGAGGAGCGGAGGAATCGAACTCGGGTTGGCCATGTTGGCCGCTAGTAAGGCAAACACCCTACCGCTGTGCTATCGCTCCAGCCAACACAAATATTAAAGGAAGAAAAAGAATGGCTTTACTAGCCATTTTTAATGTTCTGTTACATGTTCATTGAGAGTTTTTCAGTTGTCTAGTTATTCACAACTTTTGGGACCAGATGCATTTCTATAGAGTCGCTTTATAGTCACATTATTTTCCTGTTCCTTGTCATTGAGCAGGGGCTCTGAAGTGCTTTACCTGTTAAGCATTTAAGCCCATTTAAGCCTATTTTCTATCAAATAGAAGTATCAGTGGTTATCTCCGTGGAGCTTTTTTTGTTTTTCAGAAAATTCCCTTAACTATGACTTAAAAATAGTGAAATCACCAACAATATATAAAAATGCATATTTTTCTGAACATTTATCAACAGTTATGTTGATTTAATTTGATGGACCACAAATGGAATCAAATTTTAATGGGAATTTTCCATTATTATGATCTTGAATATTTTCTCATTTGTTGTATTTACAGTTTTTCTTTTGGAACTGTATGGTCCTATCCTTTTAACACTATTTATCTGTCAAGGTTGCCAATCCTTTGTAATATTTGTTACAGATATCACTACTGTTTTATCCCCTAGTTGTTTAATTTTTATTGTTGTTCAATGTTCCCTTCTTTAAAAGTTTCAGTAAATTAAGATGAGAGAAATGAATTTTAAGGAAAATTTATTCTTATTCTCATAGGAAATGAGTTTTAATTTTTTCAACATTGTTCCCTGTATTTATTTCCTTTTAAGTATGTCATGTTTGAAATAGTTATTAGTGAAGTGTACTCATTGGATTTCATTAAGTGCCTATGTATTTTCTTTGTTCTCAGACAGATTATGGTCTTGTCTCAGTACTAAAATACTTGCTTGAAGTATTTGAGAAGATGTCCCAAGTTAAAAGGATGTTTGAATTCTTGAGGACCAACATCTAGATGATTTTACAAATATAAATGTTTAACATAATGTAGACATGTTATTTTATAGTTTTTGAAGAGTGATACATGTACAATTTTTTTTAAATAGAGTCTTTATTTTTTAATTTTTTTTGCTTTTTGGGTCACATCCGGCGATGCACAGGGGTTACCCCTGGCTCTGCACTCAGGAGTTACTACTGGCGGTGCTCAGGGGACCATGTGGGATGCTGGGAATCGAACCCGGGTTGGCCACGTGCAAGGCAAACGCCTTACCTGCTGTGCTATTGCTCCAGCCCCACATGTGCAATTTTTACTTTAGAATACCATATATTATATAATATATGAATTTAAAGATGAGAGTCCCCTTGAGCAGTGCTCAGGAGAGCTGAAGCCCTGGTGACTCTCAGGCAGGCCCGCCTTTCCGTGTTCTGTCTGGAGGTGGTGGTGTTGTTTGGGATCTGCAGTGCTGAAGACTATCTGGGCTATGCAGATGTGCTCAGGGGTCCTCTAGGGTGACACCTGGGCTTAGGGAGATCATCTAGTGCCCAGGATCAAGCAAACCAGGCTTGGCTGCATATAAGCCAAGAGCCTTGGCTTCTATACTATCTGGTCCTGATTTTGAAGACTTTAATTTTTTAAAAAATTCATCTTTTTTGTTGAATCACTGTGAGGTAAGATACACAAGTATAACATTGTTCATGATTGGGTTTCAGTGCCTTTTGTTTTATTTCATCTTTGGCTTAAGTTATCTTTATCACCATGTATTCAGTCATGGGCTGGAGCGATAGCACAGTGGATAGGGCATTTGCCTGGCATGCGGCTGACCCAGGTTCGATTCCTCCGCCCCTCTGGGAGAACCTGGCAAGCTACCGAGAGTATCTCACCCGCATGGCAGAGCCTGGCAAGCTCCCCATGGTGTATTCTATATGCCAAAAAACAGTAACAACAAGTCTCACAGTGGAGATATTACTGGTGGCCGCTTAAATTGATGAACAAAGGGAGGACAGTGCCAGAGTGATACAATATTCAGTCATTCTGGCTACTTTATTGAGAGGGAAAACAAATCAGTGTTCCCGTTGATCAGAATTACAGGATTTTAGAATTTGGAAGACTCTTGGTAGGGCATATTCTGATTTCCCTGTTAAGTAGACGGGAAGCCTGGTGATATGGAGAAAGTAAAGAGATGTGAAGGGCTGCAGGAGGAGTCTGATCTTCACAGCGCTGTGTACAGCACTCCTGCAGCGGGGTGTTTGAGAGCCCAGCATGTACACAATGCAGGGGCCTACTTCAATTGCAACAGACTCTGCCAGAGAAGCAGGTTTACATAATGGAATTGATTGGAAACTATCCCTTTAGGATGAGTAGAATCCCTTATATGGAATAAAAGGAACAAGTATACTTTATTGTTTTTGAAGTGCATCTTCAAAAACTATTCCTTATGAGCAGGTTATAAGCAGCCATGTACTTCAAATTGTAATTCATGTTCTTTGTAAAAACATGTAGGACAGTTAAATGCTTTCTGAAGAAAAGAATTGAAGTTCGTGTCAAGAATACGTAAAATTTTGTGATTCTTTTTTTCCTTTAAATCTTTTTCTTTTTAGATTTTGAATCCACTTGTTTCCAAGGCACAACTTTCCCAAACAGTCCAGTCTCGTTTAGTTAGTTGTAAGATTTTAGGAACATTGACCAATAAATTTGATGCCCATACGTGAGTATTTTTATGTAATTTTTAATGTATTATGGAATTGATTTGAAATGTATGACTGTGATAATTAGATTTTTTACTATTTCCATACTGCATATAAGGTAAGCTCTTTTTAATTATAGAATTTCAGAAACTTACAGAATTATATTCATTTATTTCCCCCTTATCCCCCATGACCTTTTCAAAATCAATAAGATTGACTTGTCTTACCCATTAAAATCTTACCTGTAAAACATCTAGTGTCATTCTGAGGCTAAAATGGCTTTTTTAGAGACTTCAGAAAATGATAAACATGCAATAAAGGTAGATTTTCTGTTTTCTTTCATTGTTTTTATGAATTTATTATTTGGATGACATCTTTTAGAGAGTTTTTGTGGACAGTGTTTATAGTTAAAGGCTCTTCTCTTGCCAGATCTTAAGTCTCAAATGGAAAGAATGGACTATTGCATAATGAGAATATAAGAATGTCTTCTGCCTTTAGATTTTTATCTTATTTAAGATGTTTAGCTGCCAACCCAAAATTCACCATTGTTTTAACTTCATTATATTTTATTTAACTCTCCACTCTCTTTCCCCCTTAACCATTATTTTAAAATGACCCCATCAAAACATGATTTTCAAGTAGCTGAAGATAATCAAGTGTATTAATACATGCTCAATATATCATCTTTTATATAAAACTTTAAAGTATAACATTATTATACAAAAATTTTAATAAATTGTTGGTCAGTGTCAGTTATCCTTAAACACTTACCCATTTGCATATTTGTTTCTTCCTTCTCTAAGCATTAAAAGAGAAATACTTCCTCTGGTAAAATCACTTTGTCAAGATGTGGAGTATGAAGTTCGATCTTGTATGTGTCGGCAATTGGAAAATATAGCTCAAGGCATTGGGTATGTGCACGTTTTAATTTCTATGACAGTTGCACCATCTTTAGTTCTCGATTGTGAGACACACGTAACCTCTTTCATGAGGACATGCCACTGAAAGACCTTATGTGATCCTTAAAAACCTCATCATAGCACTGTAGCACTGTCCTCCTGTTGTTCATTGATTTGCTCGAGCAGGCACCAGTAACGTCTCCATGGTGAGATGTTGTTACTGTTTGTTGTTGCTGTTTTTGGCATATACTTCGGGGAGCATGCTAGGCTCTGTCGTGCGGGCGGGATACTCTTCGTAGCTTGCCGGGCTCTCCGAGAGGGGCGGAGGAATCGAACCCAGGTTGGCCACATGCAAGGCAAATGCCCTACCCGCTGTGCTATCGCAAACCTGATCAGTAGCAGTGAATATTATTCCTGTATCTGGATTAAAGTTGATAAAGGTGAAGATATGTAGCTTGTGAGAGGCATTCAGCTAATGTTAATCTCTTTTTTGCTTTAAACAATGTACCATCATTCCAAATTCTTAGCTAGTGGAAGAAAAAGTCCCAGTAGAAATCATGCAGGGATAGAGTTGTAGTTTATTTTTGCTGATAGCGGTATTATGTGTCCCTATATGCCATCACTCCCTGGAGGCCTTTCCTTGTCTCCTGCCAGTTTTGCAGTTCCGCTGCCTGGTGATGCTTTTCCTTGCCTTTGGGGTACATGAAATTTAGGAAGGAGAGGCACAGGGAAGACTAACCCCCATCCTTTACCCATAAAAATGAATCTCATGGCAGTAGTAGATAATATATGAAAGATAGCACTGTAGCACTGTCCTCCCGTTGTTCATCGATTTGCTCAAGCGGGCACCTGTAATGTCTCCATTGTGAGACTTGTTGTTACTGTATTTGGCATATCGCGTACGTCACAGGGAGCTTGCCAGGCTCTGCCATGCGGGCGAGATACTCTCGGTAACTTGCTGGGCTCTCTGAGAGGGGCAGAGGAATATAACCTGGGTCAGCCCTGGTTGGCCGTGTGCAAGGCAAATGCCCTACCCCATGTGCTATCCCTCGCCCTATGAAAGATAGATAATATATAAATACTGTCTTGGGAAATACTTTTTGTTTTTAAGGGTCGTAAATTGTGTACAAAAATATTGTATCCTTTTTCTTTTTCTCTTTTTCCCCCCCCCACTGATTTCATCTTTGTCTCCCAAGCAAAGATAATTGCCATTTGAACAGTTAAATTATAAATATCTGAGCTAATATTTAAAACTTTAGAAAGACTTTAGAATGTCACAGCAATTCCGGGTAGTGTCACGTGTTTGTCTTGTGTCTGCATGTCAGGTGTCAAAACGGGGTCAGGTACCTACAAGATAAGTGCCTTAAACCCTGTACTGTTTCTTGGCCCCGAGTGGGAAGACCTTTTAGTGAGGAGAGGAATTATTTTCAAAATATAGTTCCGGAATAACTGAATATTTATAGGAGAAAAGCAGTGACTACTGAACCCTCGCCTCACTCACATGCGAAGACTTAACTTGAAGTTGGTCATAGACCTAAATGTAAAAGTGAATATTATCAACCAAAGGAAATATAAAGATGAAAAGGAAAACCTTTCGTATGACTTTGGAATAGTCAAGGATTACTGTCCTGTCCTCCTGTTGTTCATGAATTTGCTCAAGCGGGCCCAGTAACATCTCCATTTTGAGACTTGTTGTTTCTGTGTTTGGCATATTGAATACATCACGGGTAGCTTGCCAGGCTTTGCCGTGGGGGTGGGATACTCCTGGTAGCTTGCTGGGCTCTCCGAGAGGGGCGGAGGAATTGAATCCGGCTCGGCCAGGCTGACTGCGTGCAAGGCAAATGCCCTACCGCTGTGCTATCGGGCTGGAGTGATAGCATAGCTGTAGGGTGTTTGCCTTGCATGCAGCCTACATGGCCGACCCGAGTTCGATTCCTCCACCCCTCTCGGAGAGCCCGGCAAGGTACCGAGAGTATCGTGCCTGCGCGGCAAAGCCTGGCAAGTTACCCGTGACATATTCGATATGCCAAACACAGTAACAACAAGACTCATGATGGAGACATTACTGGGCCCACTTGAGCAAACTGATGAATAACGGGAGGACAGTGACAGTGAAGTCAAGGATTACTTAGATAGAATTCATGAGCTGAGCCTGAGAGACCGTACAGCGGGTAAGGCACTTACCTTGCTTGTAGTTAACCTGGGTTCCATCTCCATCACCCCTGTTGTTCCCCAAGCCTTCAAGGAGTGATCCCCGAGCACAGAGCCAGGAGTAAGCCCCGAGCACTGCTGGGTGTGTCTCCTGCCCCCAAAACAAAGCAGAACAGGTGAGATGATATGGGGGTCATGGTGCTTGTCTTGTGTCTAGCCAACTAGTCTTGGCACCTTTCATCCAGAATTTATAAGAATACTTTCAGAAATGCAAAACTTTTAAAAAGTACGATGAGAAATGAACTGTATGTTGGTTACGGATATGTCCAAAAAGCACCCAAAAAGATATTCAGCATAATAAGTAAAGGACCAAACATGATGACCTCTCAGTATCTGTATTGGAAACCATAATGCCCAAAAGTGGAGATAGAGTCAGAAGGAAAGTGCCTGCCACAGAGGCAGGGAATGGGGTGGGGGGTGGGGTTGACGGGAGAGGTACTTGGGACATTGGTGGTGGAAAATGTACGTGGGTGGAGGAATGAGTATTCGATCATTCATGACTGAAACTCAATCACGAAAGCTTTGTAACTATCTCACAGTGATTCAATTAAAATATAAAATTAAAAGATACTCAACGTATCTTACTATTATCATAAAGGCCCTCCCGTTGATCGTCGATTTGCTCAAGCGGGCCCAGTAACGTCTCCATTGGAGACTTTGTTGTTACTGTGTCTGGCATATCGAATACTCTCGGTAGCTTGCCGGGCTCTCCGAGAGGGGCGGAGGAATCGAACTCGGGTCGGCCATGTTGGCCGCTTGTAAGGCGAACGCCCTACCCGCCGTGCTATCGCTCCAGCCCCGTTATCATAAAAGGGGGGTATAAAGTCAAGGCAACATACAGGCATACTATTAGTAAACCCCATTACATATTCACTCGAATGATTAAGCTAAAGCGATGCAAATAACATGTATGAAGATTTGGTGGAAACAGAACTCAGACCTACAATGGAAAATAGTGAAATAGTGAAACACATTGTCGAAAACTTACTGCCATTTAGCTTACCTCTAGATGAGCGAGCCATTCTACCTATATTTATTTTATTTTATTATTTTATGTAGGAGTACTGCTATTTATTCAGCCACCGATTAGCTGATTGAATTGGGCATGGACTTCATCTTACTTTTTTTAAAATTTTTTTTGTAATTTTATTTATTGAATCACCGTGAGAGCAGTTACAAAGCTTTTGGGTTTAAATCTCGGTCATACAATGAAGCACCTGTACCTTCACCAGTGCCCATTCTCCACCACCAAAACCCACAGTATACCCCCATCCCACACCCTCCCCCTACCTGTGGGACAGATGATTTCCACATTACTCTCTCTCTACTTTGATTACATTCAATATTTTGACACCAGGCCCACCATTATTATTTGGGATTTTACCCCAACACTCAGATCTGCTGAAAAGGCAAGAGTAGACAAGTTGTTTTCCATTGCTGGTTATGAATAACACATGATGTCGCGTGGCTGCAGTAGTGGCCACACGATTTTGAAATTCTGAAATTTTAACAATTAAATCTGGACGGATTTCTGCCAAAACCTGCTGGGTTCTGAGATTTGTTCCTGAGTCTCTGGGATCATGACCATTAAACGGCTTGATCAGGAGCCAGAGAGGCCGTTCATTGGCGGTGACTTTGGGTCTCATTGGGATTGGGGGGTGGGGAAGGGCCGGCTCCACACCCATTCTGTGAGGCCCCGGCGTGTCTCATCACTGTGGGCCCAAACCTGACTGTTCAATGGCCTCTGGTGGATGGCAGCCACCGAGCCGCCAAGGGGGAGCAGGTAGAGGGACAGTACCCTTTCCCCCCTGGGGTGGCCCAGTGACAGTAACCCACTGCGAGTTCTGGATGCATTTCTGCCAAAAGCTGCTGGGTTTCGAGATTTGTTTCTGAGTCTCTGGGATCATGGCTGTTAAGTAGCTTGGTCAGGAGCCAGAGAGGCCATTTGTGGGCGGCGACTCAGGGTCTCGTTGGGATGGGGAGGACAGGGCTGGCTCCACCCCCATCCCGTGAGGCCCAGTGTGTCTCATCACTGCGGGCCCAAACCTGACTGTCCAGTGGCCTCTGGAGGATGGCTGCCACTGGGGCGCCAGGGGGAACAGGCCAAGGCATGAAACCTATTCCCACCTGGGTTGTGCCAGCACCGGTAACCTACTGTAGGGACTGGACGCATTTCTGCCAAAAGCCCTTGGGTTTCGAGACTTGTTTCTGAGTCTCTGGGATCATGACCGTTAAGTAGTTCGATCAGGAACCAGAGAGGCCTTGCCTCCAATTATATAGCTGAGCTGGAGGTAGTTTGTGGGTATATCTCCCACATACCTAACTTTTGGGGCTGGAGCGATAGCACAGCGGTAGGGCGTTCGCCTTACAAGCATCCAACATGGCCGACCAGAGTTCGATTCCTCCGCCCCTCTCGGAGAGCCCGGCAAGCTGCCGAGAGTATTCGATATGCCAGACACAGTAACAACAAAATCTCCAATGGAGACGTTACTGGGCCCGCTCGAGCAAATCGACGATCAACGGGAGGGCCTTTACCTTTACCTTTACCTTACCTAACTTTTAGCTGTTTACTTTCTTGGTAAACTTTGCCCCATGTTTTTGGAGTCTGGCCAAAGGCATAGAAGCAATTTTGGGGTATCTGGAATTCTGAAGGCACCATCAGGCTGCTGATGCACTCGCCTCACAGGTACAGATTGACCTGCTGGTGGCACCATAACCCCAGCCATTCTACTTTTAAATGTGTTACTCAGGGCAGGTGGAAATATGTATTCATCCCCTGAATTTTATACGTTTGCCTCAGCTTTATTTTGTGACAGCCCGGGCTGGAACAATCTATTTATGAGAATATCCAAATGTCTGTCAGCGGAATGGAAAACTAAAATGCTCTATGCCATACGATGGGAAGTTATTCAGCTATAAAGAGCACTCATATGTGTAGGATTGCATGTAGGGACCATGATGAGTGGAACAGCCCCCCTCCCACCCACCTGCTGAATCTGAATCACTTTCTAAGAGGCCTCAGCAGTCTTCAGTTTTGTACTCGACCCAGATAACCTCAGTAGCACGTGACACACTCGAGGCTGTTTGCTTGGAACAGCTTTGGGAATATCCCTCCCCAGAGCGGGGAGGAGAGGCCTCCAAATGTTCGAGAACAAGCTGTCACGTACATTCCCAGGCGTGGGGGGAATGAGCAGCCTCATTGTACTTAGGGCACAACTTATGGATCCGTTCGGCAGTCGGGTTCCTTTAATTGCCTCCCCCCCAGTCGAGTGCGTTCCCTGTGCTAAATCGACACTAAAACACAGTCACAAAGAAGCAGCTCCTTGATTGCCTGGAGAGGCAGATTGTGGGATTCGGGCATAATGGGCTTGGTGATTAGTTCTTGTCCTCTGCCAGGTTTTTGTCTGCTGCTAACAAGACTCTTGATGAAGTGGGGACGTGGAGCGGCTGGCTAATCAGAAGCCCTGGAGGCAACTCCATGGAAAAGGGAGGTGGAGGCAGTCAGGCTCCACCATTTCTTCAGGCCCAGATGCTAAGAGAGGCAGTGGAAGAGGCAGCAAGGACGGGAGGATTCCTCGACTTCCTGTTGCTTTTCTGTGGTCCTGATCAGCCCCAGATTCAGTATCGTCCACATCAGGTTTAAGAGTTGGACACACAGCTACCCTACCGTGTTACAGCCACCCTCCGGGCAGGTTTCTAAGATTTTTGTCACACCCTGAGTGCTGATTGGATTTCTGGGCAGGTTGCTTTTTTTTTTTTTTTTGGTTCATTTTCACTGCTCCACTGTACCTTACTTATTCCCTTACCTAAAACCAACTCCATGGGTGGGGGATATTATTATCATTGGCCTCTCGACTTCTAGAAAAATAATGTGATCGTACTGTTCTCTGACTTCTGTTCTGTATGCTTAAATAAATGCCAGCAGGGTAGAAAGGATCATGACCTGGAATTCTGCCCTGGACAGGGCTGGAATGAAAATGTGAAGGCAAGAGGAAGATATTCTCTTAAATAGATAGTAAAGCACTAATCTGCTTTTTGAGAAATGTGTCATGTATATCCAGTTCCCTAAGAGGAACTAAATAAGGAGGGAAACTATTCGCATCATCTATTTGTACGTTTACCAAGATACCTTATTGCCCCTCGATTTGTATAATGTGACAGATGGGCCAAAAAAAAAAAGCAACATTTTACAAAGAATGAATACATGTGACTCACAAGCACATAGTCAAAGTCATTAGTTGTTTGGAAAAATATAGATTTAATGGATTTACTTTGGGCTGTCACCATAAGTATTGTGTGCCATACATGTGATACAGCAAACAAGATCCAATCCTCTCTTTTAGGTGCCTACAACTGGGTAAAAGATGTAGTCAGCTTGGCAGACATTGGATAATGTGAGATAATTGCAAAAAGCAATAGCAAAATACTTCTTTTGCCAATGAAATTGGAAAAGTTGATAAAACTGCATGGTTGGCATAGAAGCAAGGTATATTCCTGCTTGGGAAATAAGCATAAATTTAGCATTCTACAGCATAGAAAAATTTAACTTATTCCTTTACCTGTATTATATAAGCAATTAATTACATTGAAGTTTACATAAGAACTAATATCCTTCTTTCCTTTCTTGGGTCATACCGAGTAGTGCTCAGGGCTTATTATTCCTGACTCTGTGCTCAGTAGCTCACTCCTGAGCTACTGTATGTGCTGCCAGGAATTGAGCAGGGATTGATCGTGTCAAGGCAAGTGCCTTAACCCCTGTATTTACTCTCTGCACCCCCTTCCCTGCCCCCACCACCATTTTTCTTTCTTTTGGATCTCTGAAGACTGGCCTGGGGCCTCTGACAATACTTGTCTCTCCCTCACTATTCTGGCCTGATGGGAAGGTGCTTAACCAAGTGATGCAGTGTTGCTTGGCAGCCCTCAGACACAGCCAACATCGGCACACTCAGTCCTTTGACTAGCTCCCCGCCTTCTATGTTTAATGAATGCTTGTAGACTACTGGTAATAGTAAGGACTCTCATATTGGGTAGTTTTGTAAAATTTTCTTTTAATTAAATCACATTGAGATATAGTTACAAGCTTGTTCATGATTGAGTTTCAGTTATATAATGTTCCAACACCCATCCCTTCACCAGTGTACATTTCCCATCACCAATGTCCCCAGTTTCCCCCCCCTCCCAGTATCCCTTTGTGGCAACCCCCCCCCTTCTTTTGGGCATTATGGTTGGAAATACGGTTACTGAAAGATATATGTATATCCCTTTATATAGGGTAGCACTATAGCACTGTTCTCCTATTGTTCATTGATTTACTCAAGTGGGCACCAGTAACATCTCCATTGTGAGACTTGTTGTTACTGTTTTTGGCATATCGAATACGCCACGGGGAGCTTGCCAGGCTCTGCCATGTGGGTGGGATACTTTCGGTAGCTTGCCAGACTCTCCGAGAGGGATGGAGGTATATATATATATATATATATATATATATATATATATATATATACACACCTATATACCTTATATAGGGTAATTCTTTAAAAAAATTTTTATTAGTGAGACACCATGAGGTACGGTTGTAGACTTACAAATTTTTGTGCTTGGGTTTCAGTTATACAATGATTGAGTACCCATCCCTCCACCAGTGCCCATTCTCCACCACCACGGATCCCAGTATCCCTCCCACCCCCCATCCCCCCACCCCACCCTGCCTCTGTGGCAGTGCATTCCCTTTTGCTCTCTCTGTCCTATTGGGTGTTGTGGTTTGCAAAAGAGGCAATGGGTGGCAATCATGTTTGGTCTATAGTCTACTTTCAGCATGCTTCTCCCATTTTGGGAGGATTCTTTCAACACCATTTATTTGGTGCTCCCTTCTCTATCTGAGCTCAGGGTAGTTTCTTAAAAACAGTTTTCGGTCCTCTTATTGTTCAAGTCTTTGCCTTCGAGCTGTATTGTCATTTGGTGAGTTGCTTGCTACAGGTGGCTGATTCCATTTAAGTTAAGAACTATGATATGAAAGCACCAGTTCCTCAGCTTTAATGACCTCATTTTAAGTGTGTATTCGCCACACGTGGCTCCCTACTGGATAGGCAGGTCATCACCTTGAGCAGAAATTCTGCCTTTCAATGTTGTCTTACAATCTTTGTACTTTTTGTAATTTTGGAGCTTTTTGAAACTCTTACTGAGTTTCTCATATTCTTATGTTTTTTTTTTCTAAATACTGTGACTTTCTAAATTCATGCCATCTTCCACCTTAACTCAAGAAAGTTGGCCATGTCCTAAGCCACCCATTTTATTCAAGAGTGTGTCCTTGTACTGGTCTCTTGCTATGGTGAATAAGTAAAACAAAGTATTGAGGGCCAGAGTGATAGTATAGTGGGTAGGGCACTTGCTTTACACACTGCAGACCTGGCTTCAGTCCCTAGTACCTCATATATTTCCCTGAACCCTGCCAGGAGTGATCCCTCAGCAACATGGGGGTATGGCCCCCTGAAATAAAACAAAACAAAGAACTGAGTAGCAACCATCTGTGATTGCATTGTAAGTATCATCTCCCCCAAACATTTATGTTGTGTTTGAGACTTTCAGGTAGGGAATTTCTAGTATCACATACTATTCTTACTTCTAGAAATGAGTTCCTGGTAAGTGGATGAGAAACTAACTAATCCCCTAAAAATCTATTAAGCCGATTTTATTTGGGTTTCTACAGTTAATATTGATAAGCTTTTCAAATTTATCCATGAGCATTTGCTAGAACTTCTTTATTTTATTTTTTTTTTTGAGTCACACCCAGCTATGCTCAGGGGTTACTCCTGTCTCTGCACTTGGGAATTACTCCTGGCGGTGCTTGGGGACCATATGGGATGCCAGGGATCAAACCCAGGTCGGCCGTGTGCAAGGCAAATGCCCTGCCTACTGTACTATCACTCTGGCCCCCTTGCTAGAATTTCTTAAGATGGAAAACTACATTGAAATTTCTACAGTTTCATGTGAACTAATCATTAATATTTTTGTAGGGAATAACACTGTGCCAAGAGAACCCAGAGGGGTTTAAATAAATTATTCAGTGACTATTAATGTTTCTAAAATGTTTCTGTCACATTCTCCAACTGGACTGCAAGCTTTTGGAGAGCTGTGGCCATGCGTATCTTTAAGATAATCCCTCCCCTGGTTATCTCCTACACCTAGCCCAGTGACATAGTCTTATAAATTCTATAGTTTTGTTGATTTGATTTCCCCCCCGCATTGCTTCTATTTCTATTGCTGCAGGACAGAACTGACAAAAAGTGTGGTGCTCCCCGAGTTAATAGAACTCTTCAGCGATGAAGGCAGCAGCGTCCGGCTTGCAGCCTTTGAAACACTGGTTAATCTGCTCGACATCTTTGACACAGGTACACCTTCCTGGGGGCGCATCTTGGCTTCTGAAACCGCTGCTTCTCTGGGTTTTTGTATCACAGGTTGGAGGATAGGTAACTGCAGGACAAACTTTTATTATATCTAGTTTGTTACACCTCCCCTCTCCCATTGGTCCTTGCCCTCTGCCGTTTTCTCTCCTCCACATTCACCCCCACAGACTCACCTCATGTCCTGCGTATTGGCGGATCTCCTTTCTTCCTCTCTCCCCTGTTCGCATTCTTTTATTCCTCCCTAATTCTCTCTCTCTCTCTCTCTCTCCACCCTTTTCCTTGCCCACTACTTCTTCGGGGTCCTTTTCGTAGACAGTTTCTCTCTGATGTCTCTCCAGACTCCTTCTACCAAGGATTGGTAAACTTCGAGTGACCAAATCCTGTGCACTTGTTTTTGCAAATCAAGCTCACTGGAACAAGGCCATGTCCACTTATTGATGTATGATTTTCCTCTGCAACTGTTTCTGTATTATGCTAGAAGTGACAGTTGTGAACAGATACAGTGCAAAGATTAGAACATTTACAAAAAAAATTTTTGCAGACTCCTGCCTTATGCCGTTTATTAAAAAAGGACCGTATTTTTGCATGATTTTTACTTGTTTGGGTTCTTAATTGGTATGAGTTTTTTTTTACTTATATTTGCCTGTTTATATTATATGACATAAATTAAGGGCCTTAAGACATTCTACTTAAAAAAACAGTTATTTTATTTATTTATTTTTATTATTATTATTATTAATTTTTAGCTTTTTGGGTAACACCCGGCAATGCACAGGGATTTTTCCTTGGCTTTGCACTCAGGAATTACTCCTGATGGTGCTCGGGAGACCATATAGGATGCTGGGAATCAAACCCGGGTTGACTGTGTGCAAGGCAAACGCCCTACCCACTGTGCTATTGCTCCAGTCCCAAACCAGTTATTTTAAAGGAGAGTTATGTAAGAAGCAAAGTGAAGAAATTAAATAGAAAGAACATTATTATAAGTTAATTCTGATCAAAAATGAAATAATAAGATGGGGATGCACTTAAGCATCATCCAAGATGCACTTGTGGGAAACCAAAAAGGTGCTTTTAGCCTTGCATGTGTTAGAATTCCTTTAATTCCTCAGAAATAAGCTTAATCCTCTATTTCATCTTTTTAGTTTGTATTCATTCTTCATATTCTATTTCCTTCTGGCCCACAGTTTGAAGTGTAAGTGTCTTGGCTTCCCATTCAACATTACATTTTTTGATTTATTTCAGGTTTAGGGACACTTGTGGTGCTCAGGGGTTACACCTGCCTCTGCCCTTAGGAATTACTCCTGGTGATGCTTGGGGGATCATAGGGGTGCTGGGGATTGAACCTGGACCTACCACATACAGGCACATGCTCTATCCACTGTAGTATCTCTCTGGCCCCCAGCATTTGATTGTTTTCAGTTCTCCTTCCTACCTTTCTCTGCACCCCTCTATCATTATTGTTTCTAGATGATGTCAACTACTATGAGACAATTGTAATTTCTGAAGTTTATGGAAATGTATTAATTTCTTGGATCTACCGTGTGTTTCATTTTGTTTTGTTTCCTAGATGACAGAAGTGAAACTATATTTCCTTTAGTGAAGTCATTTTGTGAAAAATCTTTCAAGGCAGATGAATCAATTCTTATTTCCTTATCTTTCCATTTGGGAAAACTTTGTCATGGACTATATGGTATGATACATTCTAATAATTTGTATAATCTTCCCCCTTTTCTTTCATCTTAGTTGACAGACTTCAGATTTTCAGTTGTAAACTTTTTAGAGTTTAGAATTTTTAACATATAATTTTAAGAAAGGCCTTTTAATTAATAGAATCTATTTGAAAGAACAATGACAGAGAGAAGTAGACATAGACTTTTAAGATCCTGGATATTTGTGTATTTATGCTTTAGTTGATAGTTAATAATAGAAACTTAGGTGTGTTAACTGTCAATGAATAGTCAGTATAACCTTATTAGTCATTTGGTGAATATATAATATATTGTGAGTTTTAAGCATCAACTATAGAATAGTATCCATTGTTTCTGGAATTTGAATGTATTACTTGGTTCTTAGCTTGCTATAATAAAATGGACATTAATGAACACATAATCACCTAGCATACTGGCACGTTGGCACCGGTATAAACCACAGGTGACTCACTTGAATGTGGTTTGATTGATACAGGTTGCAATGCAGTATGACGTGCTAAGGAATTTTTAATACGGTTTGTAGACCTTTTGAAAATGTTGAAAAAAATGTATCTATTTTGCAGTATTTAAATTCCTATGTTCACTAGATGGATAATTAATGTATCCAGCCAGGAGCCAGAGGGATCCAACAGGGATGAAGGTGCTTACCTTCCATGCAGAAAACCAGAATTTGATCCCTGGCACTGCTCATCCCTGGTCCCTGAGAGCTGCCAGGGGTCAATCCTGAGCAGCTCTGGGTGTGGCCCTCAAACCCAAATAAATAAACACATAAACTTGTCTATTAATTGATCAAAAATATTTTGAGTTTACTTGGCTATTTTTCAGATTCAATTTTTAGGATCTTCTGCGGCAGAAACAGGTATTTTCTGCAGGTTTTTTTAGGATGTTTACCACGAGTAAATGTTAAGGATGACCACGGTATTATTATAGTGACATGCTAGTACTCTAAAGTGTGATAAATGATGTAGAAATTAACGCAGGTGTAGTTCCTACATGGTGTTTCTGTAGTTTATACTAGTAACATCAGAGCAGTAAAATTAACATAGAAGGTGAAACAATGTGATTCACCTCTTAACTTTCTTTAGGATAGCTATTCTTACCTCATGTTTTTATTTGTGATCTCTTTAACAGTTTAAATTTTGGATCCAGTTATCTTTTTATTGTACTTTGATATTTTCTTTAAAAATTTTTTTGTTTTCAGTTAAAAGATTGAGTTTTACATTTGTTTTAGGAATTTTTACTCCAGATCAACACTTGAGATTTTTGGAGTTTTATAAGAAACTTTGTACATTGGGTTTGCAACAAGAAAATGGACACAATGAAAACCAGATTGCATCCCAAATCTTAGAGCAGGAGAAGAAATATATTTCAGTACGAAAGAACTGTGCTTATAACTTTCCGGTAATAAGTCACGTTTTTGTATTGGTTAAACATTTTATTTAAAATTTAAAATTATGTAAAGAGATAGCTGTGTAAAATTATCCCCCTGTTGGCACTTGAAGCTTAGCATAATGTCTGGTACACATAGTAGGTGCTAAATAAATATTATTATGATTTGTATTTATCTCTCTACATAAATCAAAATGAGATGCATACCATTGATTCTCCAAATGTTATTTCTAAGTAAATTATGATTGTGAGGACATGGCTTTTGAGTAAGTAACCTGATTTTCATACGAGGTATTGATGCCTCTTATTCTTTTCTTTCCACTCAACCTCTTTCTTCCTACCTCCTCCAGGCCATGATTGTCTTTGTTGATCCTAAAAACTTCCACATGGAACTCTATTCTACATTCTTCTGCCTTTGCCATGACCCAGAAGTACCAGTCCGACACACTATTGCTATTTGCTTTTATGAAGTAAGTCTGAAGGAGTGATATTACTTTACCTGTGTTGTTGATTCTAGGTACTAAATGATTTCTTGATATTTTATGCACTTGTTTGCAGATTTATTATAATGGACTCCATATCTCTTTCATATTCAAATCATAAATGTTATCTTAAAAATTCCCCTAATTCCCTATTTGGTATTTACAAAATTCATTTGTGTAAATAAATTTTATTCACTGATCATTCATATATTTTTTATACCTCTATAATAAATTTATTTATTTTACTCTGGAAATTGTGGTGTGGATATTTCGATTTTGTATCCTGTATAAGATTTATATTCAATCTTGAACCTAAACTCAAAATTTTAGAACTTGAGAACAATGGGAGAATTGATTATTTGGTTGTGCTCTTATCACAAATGGATTGTGTTTCCTGAGTACAGCTCTTGTATTCAGCCATTTTAACAACTTCCTGTCATGTAAGAGCAAGAGTGAATTGGAACTTTAATGATCAATTTGATTTTTTTAACTCTTGAGATTGAAATTTGAGGCAGGAATCTTTAATAATTGCAGTAAACATATGCATGCTATCCAGTAAATGTATATAAAGTATTACAAGTCAACTTCAAAACTGTCACATCGAAATATCTGTGTAGGTGGTATATTAAAATATTTCCCTTCCTAAACAGTGTGCTATTCTCAATGAGAGTACTTTATCTCCTTCATTGTTTTTATGTCAGACCATTATTGGGTCATAAGAAAACTTGCAGCCTATTCTTACCACTTTATCAATGTTTATTTAATACTTTTTTTGGGGGGCTGGAGCGATAGCACAGCGGTAGGGCGTTTGCCTTGCACGCAGCCAACATGGTCGACCCGAGTTCGATTCCTCCGCCCCTCTCGGAGAGCCCGGCAAGCTACCGAGAGCATCTCGCCTGCACGGCAGAGCCTGGCAAGCTCCCCGTGACGTATTCGATATGCCAGACACAGTAACAACAAAGTCTCCAATGGAGATGTTACTGGGCCCGCTCGAGCAAATCGACGAACAACGGGAGGGCCTTTACCTTTACCTTTACCTTTTTTTTGTGGTTGGATGACACTCTTAGTTTCTTGTCACCCCTGCCCCCTACATGAATGAAATCAGTGTGTCACTGTGCAGAATCTAGGACATATTTCCATAAAATGGTTTAATTAATTAAAATCATTCTAGGGTTTCACAGTCAAGTCAACCTTGTAAATACACTTCTGGAATTAAGTTTTGGAGTGGGGCCAGAGCTAGGGGATGAGGAAGCAAAGGGCGTTGGTCATTGGGGTAGAATAATCTGCCCATGATGCAGTAAGGTGGCGTTAGCCTTGATTTCCATACATGCTTGCAATCATCTACATCATCTCCAGAGATGCTTGCAGATAGAAGTCTAAGAATGCAGTATTTATGCAAGATTGTTCTTTCTGTTTATATTAATTTTCCTGTTTCTGCACTTTCAGACATAGTATGTTTGTGCTATATGAATACACATATTAAAATGAGTATATGTCACTGGTAGAAATGAGTCTCGACGTTGAGGGTTTTTTTTTCTTTTCAATTAAAAAAACTTTTGAACCACACCCAGCTGATGTTCAGAGCTTACTTTGGGCTCTGAGCGCAGGGATCACTCCTGGTGGTGCCCAACACGCAGTGTTGGGGTTTGGACCAGCGTGGGTGCATTCAATACAAGTGCCTTAATTTCTATACTATCTCACTAGCTAAGTTTGGAAATTATAGATCTAGCTTGGTTTTTCCTTAACTGGGCGATGCTACTCCCTTGGGGAGTAATGGAACCATCTGGGGGCTAATAGTAGCCTTGGGTGTAGTTGGGGACCACTTTCTGTTTGTTTGCTTAAAGAAGGTAGATTTCCATGAGGGGCACGGAGTTGTTGTTGTTGTTGTTTTTCTGAAATGGGTGGTAGGCCAGAGAAGTCTGATCTAGCTATTGGCTGGGTTACTAGTTTTTATATTCTCCTGATCATACTGTGAGGGTGGTTGTTGGTGATACTCCACTTCATTTGACTGAGTGGTAAATTTAAGTTTATCCTCTTAAATAAAGACACCTTTGACATTTCCCTAACAGTATTACAGTATAGATCCAGTCGTAACTTTACTGTGTGATAACTTTATTCTTGGTGTTCAGTGGTATTCAGAAAAATGTAATTCTGAAAATATTTTCAACAAGGCAGAAGCAACCATATAGAGTGAAGCTTTTCTTTTGTATGTTTACTAAATACATTATTAATGGGAAGAAAAGGGAAGGGAGGCAAATATCTATCATCAATTGCTAAATTAACTGATACTGATATAGTATAACAGATTATAACTGATTATATTATATGTTATAATATAACATACATTATATGTTATATAACATAATATAACATATATTATATATAACATATATTATATTATATGGTCTCATCAATGGCCAAGATGTAGAGACTACAAAACCCAGCTCCCGGAAGCGTGCGGCCACAATTGCGGCCGTGCGACATCTTATTTTTTTCCTTTGGAAAACCTGGCAGGCTACCAAAAGTATCCTGCCCGCATGGCAGAGTCTGGCAAACTTCCTGTGTCATACTCAATATGCCAAATACCAGTAACAATGATGGGTCTCATTTTCCTAATCCTGAAAGAGCATTGAAATGGCTCTTTTAAAATCTCAGGGCTAGGAAGAAGGAGACGTTACTGGTGCCTGCTCGAGGAAATCGATGAACAGCAGGATGATCGTGATCATGATGTTATATATAATTATTATAACTGATACTTTTATACCGTATAGTAGTTAGATACAGTGACTTAGAGGGATTATATATATATATATATATACTTAAAAAGCAAAATGTAGAAAAGAATCCATTTTTAACATATACATATATGTTTATATGTGATTAAAAGAACATTGAGAAAGGAAAGAATATTTGTGCTGCAATTCCAGGGAAAGAGAAAAAACTAGCAACATACCTCCCCACAAATGCATACATATATACTAAGGGTCAACAGTGAAAGAACTGTGTTTGTTATAGTTCTTTTGTTTATTGTTTATATAATCTGATTTTGGTTTGGAGGCCACAGCTGGTAGTACTCAAGGCTTACTCCTGGCTCTGCACTCAGGGAGCACTCCTGGAAGTGCCTTGAGTCCATAATGGGGTACCAGAGATGGAACCCAGGTCATCTGCAGTCAAGGCAAGCTTCCTCCTCTCTGTACTATTTCTCCAGATCTGTTAGAGTCGCTCATATACATTATGAATGACATATACATACATTCATATGTCAAATATACAATACGGCCAAATAATTTTCATGCATGCATCATTCCAATACCCCACCTGTCGCCAGAGAGCCTGCTGTCTTCTGTTGTGTCCCAAAGTTCCTTCCCAGTTTCTGTCTTATATAAACCCAGCTCTGTAGAAAACATCTATAAGCGTGAAGGTTTTTAAAATTCTTTAAAAGGAACCCCAGGAATCTCTCCTAATCTCTTCCCCTCTCCCCCACCAAATAAAACCTTACTCAGAAGCCCAAAATGTGGGGAACAAAATCCAGGTGAAGTAGAGACTGATGAATTTGCTTCTGTGGGCTTTGAGTTTGGAGGGAAAGGAGAAAATCATTCAGAAAGGTGTTCTGTCAGCCTAGAACTTTCCTATCCTCCCATGCTGATGGAAGTGTGATGTTCGGCTTGCCTTTGGGGTTGTCTCTGTCCCTGTCACCATGGGCCCTGAGTAGGACATGGTCGTCTATGAGCCTGGAGCTGGACAACTGTTGCTGTGTCTGGGATAGCCCCTGATACTTGCTGTTTTAATCAGAGCTGGGAATGTCCCTAAGCTATGTATTACTTATGCTATGGAAATGGGCTTTGACAAATTCATTTTTCTATACTTTGTACCCCATTGGTCTGCACGCTCTAAAGTAGGCTAAAAACTGGTTATGTGCGCACTTGGCATTTTCTGTAGCCTGATATTAGATTTATAATGTAGCCTACCTTTATTTTGAGAGATACCTAATGGGATTTGTTTGTTTGGGCCACACCTGGCTATGCCTAGGGCTTACTCCTGGCTCTGTGTTCAGGGAGCACTCCTGTCAGGCTTGGGGGACTGTATGGGGTTCGAGGGATCAAACCGGGTTGGACATGTGAAAGGCAAGCACCTTAGCTGCTTTACTGTCTGTCTGACCCTTAATGGGTTGTATTTGAAAAAATTATTATTATGACCTTTTTATGTCTAGTAATTGTAAATCTAAGAGACTTTATTGCTCCATTTTAGGTTTCTAAGCTTCTGGATTCTGGAGTATATTTAATACATAAAGAACTGATAACACTATTAGAAGATGAGTCACTGGAGGTAATTTGTAATCATTTTACTCTTTGTTTTTTTATTCCTTTTATGCTGTTTGAATAGATAAGTACCATTTTCTTTACGCTTCTTGGGACTTGCATGAACTTTTGTCTGTAAGCCCTGAAGCCTCAAGCTACTATCGTAAACTTGAACTTGGAAGAGTGAAAAAATAGTTTTAAAGCATATCCCATTATATATATATATACATATATATATATATATACATGTATGTATATAGTCATGCAACTTTAGGAAATGCCAAAAAGTAGACCAAAAAATCGTTACTTACATCCATGTTACTATTTTGTTAGATTTTTTTCATTTTCTATATAGTTTTCAGTGTCTTTCTGTGGAAAAGTTTCAAAATATTTGTGGCTAATTTTCTTTGACAGTTTATAAAGGCCACACTCAGTGGTGCTCAGAGACCTGGGGCTCCTTCCACTAGTGCTTCCACTAGTGCTCTGCTTCTGTGTGTGGGCCTGGGGTGCTTGGAGGCCATTGACTCTTTCAGTGGGGCTGGGGAATGGGGGTATGTGGTATTGGTGTCAAACTCTGGCACTTGCACATGCTTGGTGGGTGCTGTACATGTCCTTTTCTCTGGCTCCTATAAATGCTTTTATTCTGCACAGTTGTAATCATACGTCATATCACATTTTATATCTCCTCCCCTTACCATTGGGAAATATAGTTATGAAGTCTTTGAAATAATGTCACTTTGGTGTCACAGGTAGTCTCTCCCGGTCATGTAAATGATCAGTACTACCTTGTCAAAACTCAGCCATCACTATTTAGACATCTCTGAAGTTGGTTTTTCATTAAAGACACTTCTATTTATTTATTTGTTTCGGAGAGCCTGGCAAGCTACCGAGAGTATTCGATATGCCAGACACAGTAACAACAAAGTCTCCAAAGGAGACGTTACTGGGCCCGCTCGAGCAAATCGACGATCAACGGGAGGGCCTTTACCTTTACCTTTACCTTTATTTTTTAAATTTTTATTAGTGAAACACCATGAGATACAGTTGTAGATTTACAAATTTTTGTGCTTGGGTTTCAATTATACAATGATCGAGTACCCATCCCTCCACCAGAGCCCATTCTCCACCACCACTGGTCCCAGTATGCCTCCCACCCCCCATCCCCCCCCCCATCCCACCCTGGCTCTGTGGCAGGGCATTCCCTTTTGTTCTCTCTCTCCTTTTGGGTGTTGTGGTCTGCAAAAGAGGCATTGAATGGCAATCCTATTCAGTCCATAGTTAAAGAAACTTTCTAAATGTGATGAGGCAGTTTTTGAGCATGATGGTTTGTAGAAGTAGCTGCCCAGACTCTTTAAACAATGTCAAGACACAGATATATTAATCAGTTTTTAAAATTAATCAAAGTAGTTGGTTATGCCTAATTGGTCATGTTTCTAAGGATTCCTAGCAAGATGATGGTAGAGTAGCAAAATAGAAATCCATAAAATATCACATGGTAAATAATACTGTTTCTTTGTAGAAACTGAGTGTGACATTAACCAAAGTGAGAATTAGTTACCACTCTCAAAATAATTGATGTCTCTATTTAAAGGTACTAGATGCACTTATAGATCATCTTCCAGAAATCCTGGAACTTATGTGTACTGGCGGAGAAAGCAGTGTTCAAGATAATAAGGTAAATCAGTGTATCATCAGAACCTCGATGTCAACACCTTCCTCTAAAGAGTTGTGTGAGGCTCAGTGAGAGAATGTATGAGAAACTCTTTGAGTGAAAGAATATACAAGAAACCCTTCACATAGTCCCCCACTGAAGAGGGTCCCTTGGACATCATAAATTCATTCTGCAGTTATTCTACTTTGAGTTTTACTTGTTGTCATTGGAGTTGACATTTTTCATTTTTAGTTTTTGTCAGCAGTAGAGGTCATTCCAAGAATAGCAACTAAGGACAATAGGCAGGGATTTAGAAAGTAAAAGTCGGCTGAAAGTAAAATCGGATACAGTTTTCTTTGGACAGAGAAGTTCCTATTGGAGTCAACTAGAGAGGAGTTGAGTCCCAGTCATGATTTATACAGTTTTTATTTTTTTTGCTTTTTGGGTCACACCTGGCAATGCGCAGGGGTTACTCGTGGCTCTGCACGCAGGAGTTACTCTTGGTGGTGCTCAGGGGACCATATGGGATGCTGGTAATCGAACCTGGGTCGGCTGCATGCAAGGCAAACGCCCTACCCACTGTGCTGTCTCTCCAGCCCCATATACAATTTTATCTCCAGTGACTATACATTTTACTTACGAATTTAAAATATCATTTAGAGCATCATGCAATTATCTCCCTATGACAACCACAATGCCTCCTAAATTTGGAAGTGATCAAGGATACTCCCCTTGCCAGTGTGCTCTCGGACTGAATAATTGCACCGAATGCTACCGCTGATTGGTTTTTAATATCACCGATTCTCCTGGTGTTTCCTTTTTCAGTTGGCCTCTCTGCCTGAGTTGATTCCTGCACTGACGGCCGCTGAGCAGCGAGCTGCGGCCTCTTTAAAATGGAGAACTCACGAGAAGCTGCTTCAGAAATATTCCTGCCTGCCACACGTCATATCAAGTGATCAGATTTATTATCGTTTCTTGCAAAGAATGTTCACAATCATGATGACCAATGTGAGCTCGCACCCTCTGTCTTATTCCTGTGAACTCGCACCGGCTTCTCACCAGTACCAACTCAGTTCAGTGGGCAGGGCCTGGACGCGTGTCCGCGGCTCAGGCACCGAGCAGGAAACTCAGCTTTGCCTTGGTCTCTCTTCTGGATTTCCCTTTGATCTCGACTCACCCAGAGAGTGCAGTACATGGGGGGCAGTACCTGCATATACCTGTTGTTGTTTATGTACTGCAAGGGAGAGGGCAAATGCTCTCAGTTTGAGATCGGCGCACTTCTTGTCCGGAGGAGGGCTGGCAGGCTCAGTGGTCTGTGCCACAGTCCGGGTACCTTTGCTCTCACATGCTTCTGTGTGGCTTGTGGCCACCACTAACCCAGCTATGCCTGCTCTAAGCCTTAAGTTCCCTCCTCTTTGGTTGCTCTTCCACCCCCCTCCCCGCCCCGAATCGATAGAGAAGGGCATATAACAGCTAAAGCCTATACAAAAATTAAGCATGCCCCGGTGTGGATCACCCTAAAAGTCAGAGTTAAGAAAGGGAATAGGAAAAGAATGTTCTCCCCTGCGATCCCATAAGGTGGTCTGTCTTTCTCACAGACAGGAGAGAACTCTTGTCACCCACATGTCACTTCGCATCTACTTTGACGTCCTGTTCTCTCTCTATGAAGTATAGAAAATGTCCGCATAATGTATATGTTTTACAGGGTTAAAAAGGTACTTTTAATTTTTATTGTTGACTCTCAGTAGAAGTGGTAAATTTAACAGTCATCATAAAACTTAAAACCCATCTCAAAACCCCAAAGTTTGTTTTAGTTTCAGAATATTTGAAAAAGAAGGGGAATGATCTTATTGATTCCCTTTTACTTTCGTTAGAAAGGTCTCTACATTTCATGAGGTGACACCCCTACCAGTTATTTCATGTACCAAAGCAAAGTCTAGGGTTGAATGCTACGTTGTACATGTACAATCTCAGGTGATTTTGACAACAGCAACTGGTCCTGGTGAGACTTATATTCAGTCAGCATGAATGCACCAGGTATGAAATTTCACTAAAAATTGAGCAGAATATAGTAATAAATGTACTTAAGTAGTCACTTACTTGAGGATTTTCCATATGGCAGCCTGTTCTTAGAACTGGGGCTAAGAATGAATAGACTCACACTGATGGCACTGCATTGTAGCTTGATGATGGTATCAGCAGTGACTAGATCAGTGAATGGATGGCCATGTGGTGTGTTAATGTTCTGAGCAGTGAAAAGATCAGTGAATGGATGGCCATATATTCTAGAAAACTTCCTCTTCATACGTCATGATTCTATATTTTAACTTTTCTTATCGAGAAAAAATTTGTTATATAGATTATGTACGAAACACAATCAAAACACAAAGCCTTCAAGCCAGAAGATACCTTTTATTGCTTTCTTTACCACAGAGCTGATTCCATACTTAAAAGTGATAATATCAGGCTGAAAAGTGATAGGTATATCAGCCCCCCCCCAAATGGATACAGTATCATTGCAGCATTATTTTCCGTAATCAAAGAGCATTGATCTGTTTCTTCCTTTTAATTTTATATATGGTTGGTGTAGTCCTGGTGTCCTACCGAAAGAATCTCAAGGACTTTTATGTTTTTTTTAAGTTCATTTAAATATTCATTGGAGAGAAAAAAAAGATTTGTATTTTTAATTCTATTCCTAAGGGCTATACTATTGATTCATTTCATTAATCTATTCATCTCACAAGATGTACTCGGTATTCGCTGTATTCTAAACTGAAAGAGACCAGTCAGTCAGCCAGGAGGCTCCACGCAGAGAGCACATCAGGGGTGAAAACTCAACAAAGAGCACCAGTGACAGCAGGCAGGAGGTGGCCCTGGTGGTCAGGAGACAGCCCCCTCTGGCCAGCCTGCGTCACACAGAGGCTGGACAAAAAGGAATGTGCCTGTGTGAAGGAGGGGAGCTGGCCGAGGGGAGACCGGGCAGGGTGTTCCTGGCTGTGTGAGCAGCAGCAGGGCCTCTGGGTGAGCGATGGAGAGAGATGAGGCTGGAGCAGTGGCCGGTCTACAGCACACAACTGGTTGGAGGCTGTGAGGTGGCTCTTAATCCTCTGATTCTTGGAAATCTCTTTTGATTTTGAGTAAAGGCATTTTAGAAACTTACTTTTTTTTCGGTCCTTTATGAAGAAAAAAATGCTACAGGGCAGACTGCTATGAAATTTTTATATCCCATCTTCTGCATTGAGATTTAACACTTGCTTACATTTTGTCGCATTTACTTCTATTCATTGTGTGGAAAACATTTGAGTTATAAATATTAGAGCTTATCTCAGAAATTTTCATTCATCATCTCTTAAAAAAAAAGCTCTTTTTTAAAACCATTTTTATTGAGATACTGGAGTTTCCAATACTATTTACCATACTTCTCATGAATACATCATTTCAACATCAGACCCATCAAGTAGAGACCTAACTTCCCTCCACCAGACCAAGCTGTCCCAAGGACCCTTTTCAAGCTCCCCGTCCCGTGTAAGCTCAGTTTGGTAGACAAGGTATTCAGTTCCAATGACTTCTACCATTTGTTGTTCATTTACTAAGTTTTCTTTTTACCCCACATATGGGATCGTGTGTGTGTGTGTGTGTGTGTGTGTGTGTGTATGTGTGTGTGTGGTGACACCTACACACATTTGGATGAATAGAGCTAATCTCCTTTCTTCCTCTAGTGGAGAGCAACTCTAGCTCCAAGAGTGTGTGTCATACTCAGTGCCACATGCTGGAATGTTTGCCCTGTCCCTTAAAGAAGGTCTTTTAATGCTTCTTGCAAAATTGGTTTCAGAGCTTTGAATTCCCTAAGCTGTTGCCTGTCCATGAAACTCTGTATAAGTTCCTTCAAATCTGAATCAGAACTAGCTGGATAGAGTATTCTGGATGAGGTGTTCATATCATTACGTTTTTGTGTTTTATCCCTCCATTCTCTTCTGGCTTGTAGAGTCTCAATAGATGCTTTGAGTCTATGGGCTTTCCTTTGTATGTAAGTTCCTTTTTTGGATCTTGTTGCTTTCAATATTCTATTTCTGTTTTTTGGAAACAAAAACAAACAAACACGGTCCTCCTGTTGTTCATTGATTTGCTCGAGCAGGCCCAGTAATGTCTCCATCGCGAGACTTGTTGTTACTGTGTTTAGCATATCGAATACGTCACGGGGAGCTTGCCAGGCTCTGCCTTGCGGGTGAGATACTCTTGGTAGCTTGCCGGGCTCTCCGAGAGGGGCGGAGGAATCGAACCTGGCTCAGCTGGGCTGGCTGCATGCAAGGCAAACGCCTTACCACTGTGCTATCACTCCAGCCCATCGCTTCTCGGCCTTTTGGCTAAGATCAAGTGTGTTTTTTGGAATTCCGAGCATAATGTGTCTTGGAGTTTTTCTAGTTGAATCAATTTTCACAGTATCCTTTAGGCTTTTTGTATTTGGTTGCCTGTATTCCTCTTCTCTGGGAAATTGTTAACCACCATTTCTTGATAAAGAACTACTGGTTCTTTATCAAATTTGCCTACCTGGTCCTCAAGGGCTTCAGTGATTCTTATATTGCTCATCTCTTGCTCATCCTGTAGTTCTCTAGTGTGCTGTTCATTTCTTTTCAGACTTTTCCCCATCTTCTGTTGTTTTCTAGAGCTTTTCTTCATCTTATTTTGGAGCCTCTCAGTCATCTTCTCAGAGCCTCTAATGAGGTTTTTTTTTATATCACTAACTATACTCTTCGTTGAAAGTACAGTCATTTTAGTCCTTCTTTATTTTGGCAGCCTAGTTCGACCCTGAGATTTTATCAGCCTCTCCTTGCTCATCCTTCTTAATGCTGCCGTATTGGGCGCTCTTTCAGGGTCAGGGGAATGAGACCCTTTTTTTAACTGTTTTTATTTTTATATATTGAATACACCACGGGTAGCTTGCCAGGCTCTACCGTGAGGGTGGGATATTCTTGGTAGCTTGCTGGGCTCTCTGAGAGGGATGGAGGCTTTTAAGGTGGTCTCTAATCGCCCTTATAAGTGTTCCCATGGTTCACACCATATTTGGATCCCATAATACCCATTTGGAAGATGGGTATTAAGTTACTTATGATGTGTCATGTGGAAAGCGGTCTGGAGCATGGCGGCGGCTGGGTAGTGGAGGTAGTGGAGGTTGGCCGATGAGGTATTTATCTGGAACCAGCAGGGAGGGGCTTCTGGGTGTGATCTCTGGGTCGCCAGAGATTGGTGGAAGTAGGCAGAGGGTCTCTGTTTCCAGGTCCTGTTGAGCCTGGAGTTCAAATTCACAAAGTTTCGCTTACCTGGTTCTGTAGGGCTTTTCTCATGCGTGAAACTTGGCCCGAGTATCCGGAAAGCAGCCTGAAGCGTGGCAGTGGCTGGGTAGTGGAGGTAGTAGAGGTCGGCTGATGAGGTATTCATAAGGCACCAGCAGAATGGGGCTTCTGGGTGTGATCCCTGGGTCGCTGGAGATTGGTGGAAGCAGTACGTACGCTGGCATCAGAAGCATCCATTGAAGACCTAATGGAGCAAGCACAGAAGATCAAGTACGACATCATTGGTCTGACCAAGATGAGAAGGCATCAACCACATCACGCTACTTTTGACACTGGAGAAGAACTGCTTCTTGGAACATGCGACAAAAGAGGCGTTGGTGGTGTTGGTGTCCTCATCAACATGAACTTGGCCATGAGCATTGATTCATTCTAATGTCTAACTTCCCGAATTGGATGCTTACACTTGAATAAATGTGGCTCACTGCCGGCAGTTTCTATCTTCATCATCTACGCACCAATATCCAACTACGATGAAGAAGAAATTGGGAAATTTTACATGGAGCTAGAGAAGTTCTATAAAGAAGACCACACCTTCTACAAGATCATTGTTGGTGATTTTCATGCCAAGATAGGACCGAGAAGATCAGCCGAAGAACTCCACATCGGGACCAATGGCCTAGAATGGAAGGAACAGGGTGAGAGACTGTCTGAGTTCAT